GACGGGGTTTCACCATGTTGACCAGGATGGTCTCGATCTCTTGACCTCGTGATCCACCCGCCTCGGCCTCCCAAAGTGCTGGGATTACAGGCGTGAGCCACCGCGCCCGGCCGAGACTAATTCTTTAAAAAAAAAAAAAAAGTTACAAGGAAGCCTAAGAAATATTTAACACAACATAGATCAGAAAGAAGAAAAGCATCTCAACTGAAAATAATCTAACCTAAATGCCCATAAAGAGAGGGACTTATGGCTGGGTGGAGTGGCTCACACCTGTAATCCCAGAACTTTGGGAGGCCAAGACAGGAGGATAACTTGTGCTAAGGGGTTCAAAAGCAGCCCTGGCAACATAGCTACATCCCAACTCTACAAAAAAAATTTCTTAATTAGCTGGGCATGATGGCAAGTGCCTGTAATCCCAGCTACTCAGGAGGCTGAGGTGAGATGATGGCTTGAGTCTGAGAGGTTGAGGCTGCAGTGAGCCGTGGTCATACAACTATACTCCAGCCTGGGCCACAGTGAGCACCTGTTTCAAAAAAAAAAAAAGGGAGACTTATTAAGTAAATTATGCAGCTGTTAAAAGAAGTAAGGAGCCACTCCATTATGTACAGACACTGGAAAGGTCTTTAAGATAAAATAAATGATAAAAGCAAACTGTAGACTAAAGTGTTCAAAATGTTGCCACACATATAAATGGGGGACCTAGCCCCTAGAAATGTCACTGAGGTTGAAGGCAAAAAAAAAAAAAAAGAAAGAAATGGGGGAGCTAGAAGAGAATAGATGTGTGTGTGCATGTGCGTAATTACATACATACTTACCTAATTGCATATTTTACAAATATCTCTGGAAGCATGTACAAAAATATTAGCATCAGCTGGACACAGTGGCTCATGCCTATAATCCCTGCACTTTGGGAGGATGAGGAGGCAGATTGCTTGAGCCTAGGAGTCCGAGACCAGCCTGGACAACATGGCAAAACCCCATCTCTGCAAAAAACACAAAAATTAGACAGGCGTGGTAATATACACCTGTAGTCCCAACAACTTGTGAGGCTGAGACAGGAAGATCGCTTGAGCCTGGGAGGCAGAGGTTACAGTGAGTAGTGACTGAGCCACTGCACTCCAGCCTGGGCAACAGAGTGAGACCATGCCTCAAAAACAAAAATAAAAACAACCCCAGCCCCCATCCCCCCAAAAAAAACTAGTATAATTGGCTGCTTGTGAGGGAACTAGCTGGCTGAGACCTGGGGGTAGGAATGAGTGTTTTAAACTACTTTCTTCTATTTAAAAAATTTTTAAGAATGTAAATATTAAAAAATTAGCTGGGCATGGTGGTGCGTGTGCGTGCCTGTAATCCCAGCTACTCAGGAGGCTGAGGCAGGAGAATTGCCTGAACCCAGCAGGCAGAGGTTGCAGTGAGCCGAGATCGCGCCATTGCACTCCAGCCTGGGTAACATGAGTGAAACTCCGTCTAAAAAAAAAAAAAAAAAAAAAGAATGTAAATATTTTATCAATCTAAAATTAGAATCTTAAAATCGATTGTTTGAAATTTTTTAGTAAATTTTTATTGTAACATATTAATACACAAAAATACATAAATAAGTTACACAGCTCAATAAATTTTCACAAAGTGAAACTACCTCTGTAATGAGTACCCTAGACAAGAAACAGATTGCTACGAGTACCCTAAAAGGTCTCCTTTCCCCAAATTAGTAACCACTGTCCTGACTTATAAAACAATGGAGTTATTTTGCATGTTTTAAAAATTCACGAAAATGGAATGATAGATACATTCTCTTTTGTATCTTCTTTCATTAGGTTCATAAGATTCACCAGGCATTACTTGGAATGGCAATTCTTTCCTTCTCATGTGCTACTAGTCTCCACTGTATGAATATGCCACAATTTATTTATCCTCTCTACTGTTCGTGGAAAATTTGGGTTATTTCCAGTAATGGGGCCATTACAAATAGTACTGCAACCAATGTTCTAGTATGCATCTTTTAGTGAACATATTATCCATTTCTGTTGGGGGTATACCTGGGAACTGAACTACTGAGTTATAGAGTAGGCACAGGTTCCTCCTTAATAGATACTCTCAAACAGTTTAGTAGTTTCCAATTTAGACTTCCACCAGCAGTGTATGAGAGTTCTAATTGCTGTACATTCTTGCCAATACTTAGAAAACAGTTTAATCAGGTTTTCTGATTGGTTTCTTTGTTTTAGCCATTTTGGTTGGATACGTAGTGGTAATGCAATGAGGTTTTTTTGTTTTGTTTTGTTTTGTTTTGTTCTGAGAGAGTCTCGTTCCATCGCCAGTCACCAGGCTGGAGTGCAGTGGCGCGATCTCGGCTCACTGCGACCTCCGCCTCCTGGGTTCAAGCAATTCTCCTGCCTCAGCCTCCTGAGTAGCTGGGACTACAGGCACACGCCACCATGCCCAGCTAATTTTTGTATTTTTAGCAGACACGGGGTTTCACCATGTTGGCCAGGATGGTCTCTATCTCTTGACTTCGCTATCTGCCTGCTTTGGCCTCCCAAAGTGCTGAGATTACAGGCACGAGCCACCACGCCTGATGCAATGAGGTTTTAACTAGCATTTTCTTTATGTCTATTGAGCCTGAGCACCTTCCCATATGATTACTGGCTATTTGGATACTGTCTTTTGTCATCTGCCTATTCAGATCTGCCTATTCAGGTATTTTCCTCATTTTAAAAATTGGTTTGTCTGCCTTTCTCTTATTGA